AAAAGTGTTCTTGAACACTTAATGAAATATTCATGTCTTTGTGCATAAAAGTAAAGTTCTGAAGAACTTTAGTCATTATAAATGCATTATTCATATTATAATAAATAATATTTTATTATTCAAAGGAAAGAAGTGCACATTAAAAGTCACCATGGCATGGAATATATACCAGATCACTCTACTTTTATTTTCACTTTCTTTAAAGCAGCAAGTTTCTTCACAAGGTACTGTAAAATGTCAAGCAACAATGGCTATAGTCTGCTTAAAGGGAATTTTATACAATAGTTTAAGAGAGAAAAAAGAAAAATGAATATAGAGGGGAAAAGAGCACACACAGGAAATCTTACACTAGTACTTGTATTTATGTTACCCAGAGAGATGTCACCCAAAGGTTCCCCCCCCCTCAGTAATTAATTTTCCTTCTCCTAAAATGGTAGGAAGGACTCACCATACGGATTTTAAGGTTTGCTAATCTGCTAATCTGGATTGCTAATTGCTTCATTTTTGTTCAGCCAATTGGCATATTAATTTGAGAGATTTTCTTTTAAAACTTTGCCCTATTTTGTATGTTGTGCATATTCCTCAAGACATTCTCACATTTGTTTGCATTTTTGCTCAAATTGTGCACTAATGCAAACAAATGTTTGCCTAATATACTTTTAAAAATAGGCATACTTTAATAACTGTGCATTATATTATACAATTTAAGGAGGAGAAAAGTTTGAAGGTTTTCTATGTTTTGGCTCCCTTATTGGTTCAAAACTATAAAATAAATTTGTTTTCAAATGAAAGCCTAATGCATTTCTCACACTGGTTTTTGTTCAAATTCTTAGATATCTGTCCTGAGCAAAGTTTTCTATTATATGGTCTATTATTTTGAACATATTAATGGCGTGATAAAGAGAGGTATTAGAAATGCGGTTGGGATGAGAAGAGTTTCCTTAATTGTTTGTTTGTTTATTGGATTTATATGCCGCCCTTCTCCCAAAGGACTCAGGGCGGCGTACAACATTTAAAAAAAATTCTGTGTAATCGACTTTAGAGAACTTCAAAGAGTATAAGCTGTTATACACACATACAAAGACAAAGCTCAATTCTAGTTAGAGTTGCAATGTAATTGTCTTTTGGAAAGGTCCAAAAGGCAGCTAGATTGCTGTTGAAGGAAAACTAAGAACAAGTTAGCAATAGCAATAGCAGTTAGACTTATATACCGCTTCATAGGGCTTTCANTATATATGTGTGTGTGTGTGTGTGTGTGTGTGTGTGTGTGTGTATGTATGTATGTATGTATGTATGCATGTATGTATGTATGTATATGTATATATATATATGTATATATATATGCACCAGGTAGATCATACCAAGAGTCTGTTGTTGTTTTTTTGAGAGTGGCTATAATTAAAGAATCTTGAAAATCTTGTTGAGTTGTTTTTCTTCTTCTTATACCCATTTTAATTTAGGGAGGTGTTTGAGCAGTTTATTCACATTTCCCCCCTTGTTTTGAATTCAAGTGTTGTTTTTCCTCTCCTCATCGCTATGGTAACAGAGCTGGCCCATCTTGATCAAGACTATCTTACTATTATAATATAATTGTTTAGTTGTATTATTCAGATTAGCCTTACGGTTAACTTTGAAGTTGGGAAGTTACTCAGACTGACCTGCTATTCATTTTAACCTCTTACCCTTACCAGCAATTATTAAATAATTAAAAGTTAGTTTTTCAGGGTAGTGATTTAAGAGCTGACCAACTGCTACGATGATGCAATGATGCAGTGATGTAATGATGGGAATGTGTCAGCAAGGTTTTTAGCTGTTATCCCTTTAAGAGCCTGTATGATAAGAAGAGGCCCTGATAGGGCATCATTCTCTTCCTGTGTGTTCTTCTCTGCTGTAATTTACTGATCGTTTGACTTCTGCCTATAGGACATGTATGTATAGTATATATTCTTTTGTAGATAAAATCACTATTTCTTATAAACCTTTGTTTGCTGTTATTGGTCCTGGGTTGTCTCATATAGTCAAGCTGTGCACTCACATGGTTTTAAGCTGACACATTCTTAGCAGAATCTTGGTTCAACTACAAGACCAATGATGCTACTTCTCAGATACTCCTCTGTTCCCAATATAAAACTCTAGAAATAAATTTTGCTTTGATTTCTACTTCAAACGTAGCAACCAGATAAAATATGTGGGAGAACTGATTGCAGAATCTTCCAAACTGAGAGACAAATGGGCTTTTTACTGGACGATCTATTCATGTAATTCATAGCAATTGAGGGTTTAATGAAGTCAAAAAGAGCTTATATTATTAACAAATTACAAAACGGATGGATTATAATTCAGTTTCACTACAGTGAATATATTTAACAAAAGGATTCATTAAACATATTACACAAGTATTAAATAGCCTCTGTTTAGTACAGATCTACATGTCAGCTGGAATACTAATTCCAACCATGTAGAATATTAATTTATATTTTCAAATAGAATGAGCTTACTAGAAGAAACTTTGCTTCACAACCCAGAAGCAAGGACACGGGCTGGACAAATTCATATACAATTACAAGGTAGCAATTTATATATTTAGTCAAAACCAATATCAGATAACCGTGTGTGTGTGTGTGTGTGTGTGTGTGTGTGTGTGTGT